AGGGTTAGGGTTAGGGTTAGGGTTAGAGTGCGCTTCTGTCGGTGTGCTGTTGTTGGCGCACTTTTGCGCTCATTCGTCGGCGCGATTTCAAAGCCGCGTTTTTTCCCCAGCGGTTTTGTCAGTGTGCTTTTGTTGAGCGCGCATTTGTTGGCGAATCCAATTTAGTTATACATAATAATAGTAATAAAGGGATGTGGTGGCTCAGTGGCTAAGATGCTGAGCTTGTCAATCAGAAGATCGGCAGTTCGAATCCCTAGTGCCGCGTAGTAGAGTGAGCCCCTGTTATTTGTCCCAGCTTCTGCCAACCTAGCAGTTTGAAAGCACGTAAAAAATGCAAGTAGAAAAATAGGGACCATTTTGGTGGGAAGATAACAGCATCCCATGCGCCTCTGGTGTTGAGTCATGCGAGCCACATAACCACGGAGACCACTGGCTTCGGAGAGCACTGGCTCTTTGGCTTTGAAACAGATATGAGCACCGCCCCCTAGAGTGAGGAATGACTAGCATATATGCGTGAGGGGAACCTTTACCAATAATAATGATAATGATAATAAACAATTTGTATCCAGTAGAACAAAAAGGAAATTATAAAAAAAAATCAAGAGGAACAAAAGATCAGCTGCTCATAGACAAAATGGTACTAAAAAATGCAAAAGGAAAAAAATCAAATTTTAATATGGCGTGGATTGATTACAAGAAGGCATTTGACTCGTTACCCCACCGCTGGATTAACACATGTCTGGAAAACTTTGGAATCGGCAAAAATATCTGTACATTTTCGAAAGCAAATATGCAAAAATGGAAAACCGTTCTAACAACAAATGGGGAGAACAAGAGAGGAATGGGATGACAGAGAATGAGGTGGCTTCATGGAGTCATTGAAGCAGTAGGCATGAGCTTAAACGGACTTTGGGGGATGGTAGAGGACAGGAAGGCCTGGAGGAACATTGTCCATGGGGTCACAATGGGTTAGACACAACTTTGCAACTAAAATCAACAAATGATAGCTGAGAACACATATCGTTTCCAGCATGGATTAAATAAGACAACAAAGAAAAAAATAATGCATCAACTATCAAGATGCTTTTATTTAAGAAAATAATTAAAAAATGTGCATAATGGTTAAAAAAAAAAGGTAGATGAATGTGTGTACCAAGAATGTTGTTGGAAGGAATAAAATGAACTGTACAAAGGAGAAAGCTTTTTGTCCACTTGATTATACAGAACTGAAAGCCGGTAGATCATGTGAAACCTAAAAGGAAATTGAATTCGGTGGGAAATTGCTTACTTAAGTAGTTTGTATGGTTAAAAAGAAAAGAAAAGCAGGGAGAAGAATTAATCAGCATTGAATGCATGTGAACTAAATACAAAAAAGAGTGATCTATGTGAAAGAACAGTAAGTGAATTGGGTCAGTCAGCACAGAGAATAAAAGAAAATCAAATTGCAAAATAAATATGCTAG